GGTTAGGGTTATGGCGGCAAAGTCAACTCTCGCCAGCAAGTAGAATCCGCTCTGATACCAATATTACGATCCTGGCCAATTTCGAAGTACACAATCATCAGAAAGTACAATGTCGTCCAATTGCGGAAAGAAATGAATGAACTTGAGAGGAGAGAGAGGGAAAGAAGAAGAAGAAGAAAGAAAGAAGAAGCAGATGATGTACTCCCGGAATTCCTTGGTTCACGGCTCGTGGGATGTGTCTCTTCAATACGATTTTGGCATATGGATTTGACTGTGGATTGTGACTCCTGCCTCTGGGACACGACTCTTTCCTGTGGAACTTGCCCTTTTACTCGTGGGATGTGTCTCTTCAATACGACTTTTCATTATAAGACATGACTTTTGCCCCTAAGATGTGACTGTTTGCTGGGTGCCTGTTGGACTGGACTGCTGAGGTTCCCGACTGTGACTTTTCTGAATTTGATGAACGCAACCTTTTCTTGACGAGGGCCTCTGACCCTGAGACCCGAATTTGGGGCGTGAATCGCGGAAGGCCTTTCAACGCTCCCTTCTTCTTCAACCGTTGTCTTGCCCAAGTCGTTTGGTCACTTAAGCGGCAGCAGAACTTCGACAACTTCACGATGAACAACTGTGTATGTTGCTGCACTGTAGCAGCTAAATATAGTAATTAGGCTTTCCTTGGCCTGCCTCAAACCGGTACCGGTCAGCCACGGCCTCTGTTGCAATCATTTTGTCGGTCCGGAAGCTTCCCGTACTTTCCTGGGACTTGCTGCAATTTTTGTGGACTTGGGGACTGGACTTGGAATTTCTGGTCCTTTCTGTGAAAGTACCGGACTGGCTGTTCAACGACTCAGCCTTCCAGGCTTTTTCTGTCGGGTACTGGACTGGCTGTACAAGGACCTGACACTTCCGGATGTTTCCCGACTTAGGCCCACAATGCTTCAACTGGCCTATTTGATGCCGGCTTTCAGGATTCTGCAGTGTGAATTCCTTTCCCTTGTTACACTTGCTATGGAGAATGCAACTTCCATGAACAGTTTGCTTTGCTACACAGTTCTGAAACTGAACAAAGTCTGTTCTTCGCTGTTTTTGTCCCCTGTGCAATTATGTACAAGATCCCTGGAGACGGTGTACTTATGCAAGGTCACAACTTTCTTGTTGATGAATCAAGTATGACTGGGGAGAGTGTCTATGTAAGTTGCTTCTTTTCTTTGACCTCTGTTTATTGAGATTGTAGTGAATGCTCAGAACTGCGTTGGTTTGGTGAACTTCTCTTTTCACTCTTCTTCATGTGTGGTGCTCCCTATTAAGGAGCAAGTGTGGTAAACTGTTGTCGTAGAACTATCAACAGTCAACTTAGTCAAGGACTTCTTTTTTTTTTCTCTCGATATGCCCATTGCCTGGATTTGTGCCTGGAGAAGGCCATGAAGAAAGGGACAAGAAGTTCTGGGAAGTGTTATGATTCTGGTTGTTCGTTGACTGAAGGCCAACACTCACTCACATAGACTTCCGGATATGCCCATACATACACAGAAGGAAGGGGAGAGGATAGGAGTATCACACCGCATAGGGAGAGATAAACACAGCGGAAGACTTGACCATGCGATTTGACAGGGTGCACTGAATGTGCAATTCACTCCACTCAATCCTCACAACCAGTCGTAAAGGAAAGCTGAGAAGATCACATCCATGAAACAATGAAACGATGATAGTCCAAACACAGTATCACACTGTTTATTAAGCTCAGAGTCTCAAATTGTCAGGGTAACTTCAGTACCACAGTGCGCTGCCCAGAAAGGAGCAGCGCTTCACTCCCCAACCCTGAATAACACCCGAAACACCCCCTGAGTCCCTGAAACATCAAGCGCCACCCAGATACAGCCTCCTGGGGCCAGCGCCACCCTGAGACAGGGCTCTGAGGCCAAGCGCCACTCAGAGGATGAAGAAGAAGACCAGCGCCACGGTATCTGATGATGACGAAGTGTCGGAAGACTTCCCGGGTGGAAGTCTGCAGCATCGCCACCAAGCCCTGACAAGACGACCTCTGAGGAGAAGCTGCAGCGCTGGCTGCAGCGCCTTAACCCTGGAACCCACTCTCTCGCCTTCTAGCAGACTCCAGATAGCTCGGAGCTCTGAACAGCCCCGCATGCTCTCAGAGGACAGCATCAGCCCCAGCTATGGCTGATGCTCCGAAGGTCCAGCTATGGCGGTCTCCCTCAACCCTGAGCCGTCACCACTTCCAGTTCATGCGTTGTGCAGCAGCGATGTACATGGTACCAACCGCCAAAAGCCCTGAACCGATGTCCCCAATCTATCTATACTATAGACTACAACTAGCCTAGACTCGACCTAGACCGGACTGACTGACCGACCGGTACCGTTTCTGTTTCGGCCTCTCGCCCCCTACCGGACCTGGCTATAGGCTATAGGACCGTCTATCAGAATAGGCCCATAGGGCCTTTCAGTCCTAGGGGTAGCCCGGGTCTGCAATCCGCAGTTAGGGTAGCTGTAGGGAATCCGGTTAGTACCGGGCCTGTATTTTGCCCGAATTTGCAGATATGTCCCTCACAATTTCCCTCACAGGTAGGTCTCTCGGTTAGCCCTCAGCCAAACAAAATTACGAATCTGTCCTACCTATAGTACAGCCTCGACAGAGAGAGGCTACAGGCAGCCAGAAAACAGCAAGTCATTGCAGAAGCCTGGGAAAATGAACATGACGAGTGATACAGAGATTCTGGCCTGTAGAGGCAGTGTTACATGCTGCGCCTGCAACAGGCTGCACGGGCCATTTTCAGGCCCCGTGTTGTTTTCAGCCTAAAAGCCTGAAAACAAGGGCCGTTTTCAGCCAAAAAGCCTGAAACAAGGGCCTACAGGCCCTGTGTGGCATACTATGTAGCCACACGGGCCTTGAGGGCCCGTTCCGCATTCTCAGCCTAAAAGCCTAGAAATAAGGGCTTACAGGCCCCGTGTCGTTTCAGCCTGAAAGACTGAAAACGAGGGCCTGCAGGCCCTATGTCGTTTCAGCCTAAAACAGGGCTTTTCAGCCCTGAGTCTTTTCAGCCTGAAATGGAGGGCCACTTTCGGGCCCTCATAAGATCGTCCTGCCCTAGAACTCAGGCAACAAACCAGAGTTTCGGGAACAGGCTATTTTTGGCCTGTTCCTCATGCCAGCCTCAACAGGAGTTGCAGCGCCAGCCCCTGGCTTGCCCTGGCATTGGCAAGAGCAGCCTCCTGGACTGCCTCGCCCTGCAGCTGCAGGCAGTCAAGAGGCAGGCCGAGTAGTACATAGGGAGTTCCCATGCACTTCACGGGTAGGTAGTTGGACAGCAGGCAGGAGGCAGTCTTCAGGATTCGGCAGCAGCACTCTGGAGGAGCGCTGCAGGAGTAGCTTAGCACTAGCAGTAGTCTTCAGCGCAGGGCGCTAGTAGCTGCAGGAGTAGTCTTCAGCGCAGGGCGCTAAGTAGTGGTAGTGGTAGAAGTGTTGGAGAGAGATGGCTGGCGGAGGCCAGCGAGACTTACCTGTGGTGCCATAGCTCCAGCTCCATCTTTGAGGTACCTGCATCAAGGCGCCAACTTCACAGGTTAGTACCGGACAGAGAGAGAGAGAGAGAGAGAGAGAGAGAGAGAGAGAGANAGAGAGAGAGAGAGAGAGAGAGTTCTTCTTCTTCCTCTTCTAAGTCCACCATCTCTTCTTCACCCTCTCGCCACCTGATTCTCAGTATCAGCGGACTACGACAGAGAGAGAGAGTTGTGACTTGAGACTTGACAACATTGGATCCAGACTCGACATTGGGATTCAGACATTTTGACGAGGGACTATTTGGGCCTGTGCCGAAGACTTGGTGTTGATGACATTCCGATCTTCCCCTCTTCTTCGTCTAACCCCCCTCTTCTCCGTCTGTGTCTGGTTGGGGACTGGCGCATTCTTCCTGTGTGAGCGCCAGGCCCCTTCACACCATGGAGTGATGATGATGTATTATGTTCGGGGCTGCATTGCAACATTGGTTGTTCGGATCATTGGTATATAAGTCTTCCGCTACGCTATCTTGTACTTTGCGAGAGAGGTCGGTTCTTGTTCTGGTCTGCACCGTTACAGTATGCAACAGTTTGGTATCGGAGCAGACCTCTCATTCAGAGGACCCGCTCAATCAAGTAGCCAGCTTGCTTGATCTATTGATTACTCATTAGTAAATCAAGTAGGACTTCGTCAAATCTCTGAATTTTTTTTCTCGCAACAAATATCTGAAAATTTCTGATAATCGCATTTCGTTTTACCTGAAAATTTCTGATATTAGTAATTTCGTTTTCACGCAACAAATATCTGAAAATTTCTGACAAATACATTTCGTTTTATCTGAAAATTCCTGATAGTAGCATTTCGTTTCTGTGATATTCGCATACATAGCCGAAAATTTCTGATGTTAACATTTCGATTTCTAGGCATATTAGGATAACGATAGAAGTGGTCATATTCTCGGAAACCGGATTTATTCTTTTCTGAAAATCGAATCTCCATTCTATCTCTCAATCTTTTTTTTGAAAACCGAAATCTTGCGAAGCCTACCAACATTTCTTTTTTAGGCATATTAGGAGGTTTTCATATTCTCAGAAATTAGATTTAGTTCTATTGTGAAAATCGCATCTCTACTCTCTTTCGCAAATTTTTTTTTTTCAAGATCGCATTTTTGTGAAAGCCGAAACTTTGCGGAATCTGGCCTAGATCTCGATCATAGTACTCTTCTGACATGCCTCACTCATAGCAGATCGACAGACAGACAAAAAAAAAAAGAAAAAAAAAGGGGGGGGTAATCTTCTTCTTTTATTTTTATTTATTTTAGTCTGTTGATTAGGACCGGGAGGAAAGTATAGCTGGGTTGGTTACCTACCTGCGTTTTCCCTCCCACCCGCCACTTTGCATGCATTCCCGGGTTGGTACAGTGCCACGTCAGCAACAATGCCACGTCAGCAGTGCCATGTCAGCAGTGCCACGTCAGCAACAGTGCCATGTCAGCAGTGCCACGTCAGCAGTGCCATGTCAGCAACAGTGCCACATCAGTAGTACCACGTCAGCAACAGTGCCACGTGCCACAGTGCCATGTCAGCAGTGCCCCGCCACCATGACGGGCTCAGCTCTGGGCATGCCAGGCCAACTGGCCAATGAGTCCATTGCCGAGTACCGACAGCGTTTTGAAGCTCAGCTCGCACTAATCGAGGCTGAGGAACAGCGCCAGCTGGCAGCCGAGGCTGTCCGCCTACAGGCTGAAGCGGCGGCAACAGTTGAAAAGCAGCGACTTCAAGCCGAAGCTGAAGCAGATACCCAGGCACGCCGCAAGGAGGCCCAGGATTTGCTACAGCGGCATTAAACCACCAGCATAGAAAAGCTCAAGTTCTGGCACTTTGAACCATCTGAGGGGCACGACGACGCGACAACGGAGGAGCAGCATAAGGAATTCCTGGCCAAGCTCGTGACCTGGTTGGTCTACACTTGTAACCACCTGCAGTCCAGGCTGGCGATTCTCCGACGGGCAATGCAGAGCCACAAGGATCTGCACGAGGATGCTACACGGGCACTTCATTCCCGTGTACAGGACTTGGAGCAATCTGCACCAAGACCAGATGCTGGCGAGACCAGCAGCGCACCCTCTACCCGCCAATTGGAGGAAAGAGTTGACCACGTAGTCACAATGCTCGGCGACTAAAGCACCTTCGCTGCACCAGCAACCATCAGCAAGCAGTTGAACACCTTGAAGACCGAGGTTCAGCAACTGCACCAGCTGCCCAACAAGGATGGCAACAACAGTCCGCAGCATTACAAGATGCCGACATTCCAAATCGAGAAGTTCGATGATTACACGCATCAAGACCCGGCCATCTGGTGGGAGGGCTTTACGACGCAACTTCGGATTCTGTTCGTTCCCAAGCACTCGTACATCGACGCGCTGTTCCTCAACTCAAAGGGCGGATGCCAGATCTGGCTAAGCCACCTGGCAACCGTCCACGGCGTCGACGTCGCAGATCTGAAAGATAAGATCTCTTGGAAAGAGTTAACACGGCTATGGAAGAAGCGGTTCATCGTGGACGACGCCCCGACGCTCGCCATCAACCGCCTCTTCGCACATTGACACGCGACTGGCTCACGGAATGGCAAAAGATCGCGGCGACGCCCGATCTTGAGTTGCCATTTTCGCATCTGCGTGGCGAGTTCTACAACCGGTCAAGTGCTGCCTTGAGCCTGACACTTGGTGATCGCGAGCAATACGCGACCTTCGCCGAAATCATCGACAAGCCAAGGGAGATCATCAAGACCAATAGGGCGGCTGCACACGAGAAGTCGGCATGGCAGCCAACCTATGTGGAGAAGGGTAAGTTTGGTCCTCATCCGCAGCATGTCGCTGCAGTCCACACGGACAACATTGTGGAGGACCCGACAATCAACCCAAGCATCACGTGAGGGAGATCAGGTGGCTATTGTCCAGCCATGAAGCAACAACAAGTCCCAAGGAAACGGGAAGGCGAAAACCGCATCGTCGGCTGGAAACGGACAACCAGCACCATAAGTCAAGTTTCACTTGACAGAGGCAGAATACAAGTGACGCGGCCGCTACGACTGCTGCTATTGGTGCAACAACACCAAGCACAAGACCTCCCAATTCCCGGATCAAGGCAAGGAGGATGTTCGGCCTCGCATCAACTCGAGAAAGTGAGTTGCGCGGGAGGTGAGGCGACTCCACCTCTCACTCCGCCAGATTCGACCGCCTTGCTAGCGGCCTCCTACACATCTGAGGAGGATGCGAATGTCGCAAGTCCTCAGTTCACTTACGAGGATTATGCTGTCCACTTGGTCGCACCGTTGGACCAACCACTCCACGTGCAACAATCCACCGCATGCACGGTTTCACTACCATCGGCAACTGAGTCGGCAGCTTCGCTGCCATCTATAGCCAGGGATTCGACGACATGGTCAAGACTTGAAGAGCTCGACCCGTTGACGTTTGCGGACTTTCAATGGATGCCCCTTCCCCTGTCCGGTCGATTGCCGAAACCGCATTGCAATGTGCTCATGGCACAATTGCGGGATTACTTGCACACTGCAGTACCAACTCCGTTGATGGACGCCGGAGTAGAGGTTGTCGACCTTCACAATCACAATTACATTGCGAAGATCGACCGTGAGTTCAGGACACAACGGTACGACGCATCGACGCACCATTGTTATATGTACGCATTCAGATCGGAGAGGCGACCTGCAGCGCTTTGATCGATTGCAGAGCATTCGCAACTACATGAGCCGGGACTTTATGGTACGCGCTGGCCTTGGCCCACGCGTCCGGAGGAAGTCCCAGCCTACGCAAGTCACGTTGGTAGACGGTCACACGCACAAGTCAATCGACCGATGCATAGATGACGTCCCCGTGTACTTTGCCCCGCATGCAAGCGAGGCGATGTTCTTCGATATTTTGGACACCAAATTCGACATGATCTTGGGCATGTCATGGCTACGAAGCAAGGATCACCCGGTGAACTTCTACCGCCGCACCGTTCACGTTCGTGATCGGAACGGAGTACTAGTCCCATGCACGGTGCCTCCTCCTCACCCTTCGATCAGTTTCCACGTGGTGTCCGCTGCAAACATGCGAGCTTCCATCATGAGAGACGACATTGAGGAGATGGGCGCCCCATGACGCTTCATCGACAGACTCGTCTTCGGACCCACGCATCACCGAGCTTCTCGAAGGCCCGCACGGAGTAGTACCAGATCAGCCCATCCGCCACGAGATCATCCTCGAGGACGGGGCTGTACCTCCGCGTAGTTGCATCTACCGAATGAGCGAGGAAGAGCTAAGTGTGCTACGGGCACAACTCGACGACCTTCTTGAGAAAGGCTGGATTCGGCCTAGCTCCACGCCATACGGTGCTCCCGTTCTCTTCGTCTGGAAGAAGAACAAGGATCTGCGGTTGTGCATCGATTATCGCAAGCTCAACGAGGAAACGGTTAAGAACGCCATCCCTCTTCCACGCATCGCCGACCTCCTCAAACGACTGGGCGGTGCCAAGTTCTTCTCCAAGCTAGACCTCAAATCGGGATATCACCAACTCAAGATCCGGCAGGAGGACCGCTACAAGACCGCGTTTAAGACGCGATATGGGCACTTTGAATGGCTGGTTGTGTCGTTTGGCCTTACGAATGCCCCAGCATTTTTCCAAGTGGCTATGACAACGGAGTTCCGACACATGTTAGATCGATTCGTACTTATCTACCTCGACGACATTTTGGTGTACAGTCGGAGTTTGGACGAGCATGTGGAGCACCTGCACACCGTTTTGGAGTGGCTACGACAAGCCAAGTACAAAGCCAACCGCATTCAAATGCTAATTCGCACGGCACGAGCTGGAGTACTTGGGACATTATGTGACGCCGCAAGGCATCCGTCCACTTGCGGACAAGATCGAGGCCATCCCCGTATGGCCCGAGCCCACCAACACCACGGACGTYCGTTCATTCATGGGGTTGGCGGGCTACTATCAGCGATTCATCACCGGGTACTCAAGGATTGCTGCACCTATGACGAGATTACAATCGCCAAAGGTGCCATTCGTGTTCGATGATGACGCACGCCGGTCATTCCAAGCACTCAAGACGGCCATGCTCATGGCACCCGTCCTTAGCATCTACGACCCCACCCTGCCAACGAGAGTGACAACAGACGCTTCCGGCTATGGCATTGGGGCAGTCTTGGAACAACACGACGGCGACGATGGCACCCTGTGGAGTATTTCAGCCACAAAGTGCCTCCCATCAATTCGCTTGATGATGCAAGGAAGAAGGAGCTGCTCGCGTTCGTGATGGCTCTCAAGCGATGGCGACACTTCCTCCTTGGGCGTCGAAGGTTCACATGGGTCACGGACAACAACCCATTGACCTACTACAAGACGCAGGATACGGTGAGCAGCACGATCGGACGATGGATGTACTTCATAGACCAATTTGACTTCATACCGAAACACCTCCCCGGCCTCTCCAATCGCACAGCAGATGCACTCTCGCGAAGACCCGATCTTTGCGCTATGACACATCATGCCTTCGCATTCGACGAGGAACTCCAGCGACACTTCATCCGGGGCTATGAGCCTGATCCGGATTTCGCCTCGTTGTATGACATATCTTCGGATCACCCGTCGGCCAGCCACTATCGCATTGCCGACGGGTACTTGCTCCTCCACTCAAGAGGCAAGGACTAATTGTGAGTCCCACGCGACCGTCGTCTTCGGACTCGCCTTCTCGGTGAGTACCATGACTCACGACACACCGGCCATTTTGGAGTCAATCACACTATTGCACGACTTCGGCAACGATTCCGCTGGCCAGACCTCATTACCGATGTCACTCGGTATTGCAAAGTTTACCGACAAAGCAAGCCCTGCAGCCGCAATCCCTACGGCGAGTTGCGCCCGATGCCTATCCCACAGGAACCCGGCCTCGTCCATTGCCATGGACGTCACCGGTCCGTTCCCCCGCGACCGGCTCGGGCACGACGACATCCTCACGGTCGTGGACCGTTTGAGTAAGTACGCGCGTTTCCTCCCTTGCAAGTACTACTCCACGGCTCCCTCGCTGGCACGCCTCTTGCACACCGGCTGGATTTGCGGCCACGGTGTACCGGAAGACATAGTCAGCGACCGCAACACTCGCTTCATTTCCGCATTTTGGACTTCTCTGCAGGAGTCCGGCACGAAGATGAAACCAAGTTCGGCTCGGCATCCACAGACGGACGGGCAAACGGAGCGGGCACATCAAACAGCTCAAATGACGCTTCGTACGCTCATCCGTCCGCATCAAAAAGATTGGGTTGACCGCCTCCCCGACATCGAGTTTGCCTACAACACTTCGGTGCACCCGACAATCGGCGTGACTCCATTCGAGTTGCACCACGGTGGACAGAAAGGCCGTATCTTCGCCGATCTGCTCCTCCCACGACCAGCCAACATCAACGTCGCTTGCTCTCCCGCTTCCGTCCGGAAGTACAGGGAATTGTTGGCTCAAGCCCGCGTGAATATGCAAAAGGCTCAAGTTCGCATGCAGCAGCAAGCCAACAGGCGTCGCGTGCCATGTCCCATCCGCGCCGGTGATCTGGTTTGGGTCTCCGCGGAAGAGTTTGCATTGGAACAGGATGTTTCACGCAAACTGCTTCCCAAGTGGTTTGGACCATGGCCCGTAACATCAGCCGCGTGCGATGAGCCCGATGGCCCTTCATTTGTGATCAACATTCCCCCGCATCTGACGGTCCATCCAGTCTTTCACACCTCGAAGCTGGCAACATACACACCAGCTAAGAGCGACGATCGCAGGACCCTCCTTCTATGGATGGTCATCAGGAAGTTGACCGCGTCATCACCGATCGCAAGTACGGCAGCAAGCCTCGACAGTACAAGGTTACATTCAAATCATGCGATCGCGACGACACTCGGTGGATTTCAGGAGCAGATTTGAAAGCATCCGCACCGCTGATCTACGCTCATTACGAGAAGCACAGGTTAGCTCAGGGAACGTCACGACCTGCCCCTCCCGCCCGGACTGTGGTCCCTCCCTCAGACAGCTTCGCCGTCGCAGGTAAGCTCGGTTTTCAAGGAGGGGGGGGTGTGGCATATTGTGTAGCCACACGGGCCTGCAGGGCCCGTTCCGCATTCTCAGCCTAAAAGCCTAGAAATAAGGGCCTACAGGCCGTGTGTCGTTTCAGCCTGAAAGACTGAAAACGAGGTCCTGCAGGCCCTATGTCGTTTCAGCCTAAAACAGGGCTTTCAGCCCTGAGTCTTTTCAGCCTGAAACGGAGGGCCACTTTCGGGCCCTCATAAGATCGTCCTGCCCTAGAACTCAGGCAACAAACCACGGTTTCGGGAACAGGCTATTTTTGGCATGTTCCCCACGCCAGCCTCAACAAGAGTTGCAGCGCCAGCCCCTGGCTTGCCCTGGCATTGGCAAGAGCAGCCTCCTGGACTGCCTCGCCCTGCAGCTGCAGGCAGTCAGGAGGCAAGCCGAGTAGTACATAGGGAGTTCCCATGCACTTCACGGGCAGGTAGTTGGACAGCAGGCAGGAGGCAGTCTTCAGGATTCGGCAGCAGCACTCTGGAGGAGCGCTGCAGGAGTAGCTTAGCGCGAGCAGTAGTCTTCAGCGCAGGGCGCTAGTAGCTGCAGGAGTAGTCTTCAGCGCAGGGCGCTAAGTAGTGGTAGTGGTAGTAGTGTTGGAGAGAGATGGCTGGCGGAGGCCAGCGAGACTTACCTGTGGTGCCATAGCTCCAGCTCCATCTTCGAGGTACCTGCATCAAGGCGCCAACTTCACAGGTTAGTACCGGACAGAGAGAGAGAGAGAGAGAGAGTTCTTCTTCTTCCTCTTCTAAGTCCACCATCTCTTCTTCACCCTCTCGCCACCTGATTCTCAGTATCAGCGGA